ATATGAAAGTAATGAGAAAGTGGCCACTTTCATGAGTAAATCATAGAAGTTTTTACTATTTATTTTCCATACGGGATAAGCTGTATGTCCAATGGATGATGATCTGATTAGTCGACTAATCGCAAAAATAATCGGTGACTAGTTGACTATCCAAATAATCGTTTGTGGCAGCCCTACTTACAACAACAAGTGTACCCTCAGGAAGATTGCAACAGCAGTCACTGGTGATGTTTAGCAACAGTTTGGCAGCATGGATGAGACGGTCATGTTGATAAAATATGCAAAACCAGAGATATGAATGATTGAGCTCAACAGAAATATGGAAAACTCAGACCTACTAAAAAGGCTGATTAACAGAAGGACTTTCATTCCCTGCAGCAAAGCTCATCTGTAATGAAATACACAAATTATCATTTATCATATCATATATCATTTATTAGTCAACTATAAGTTAAACATTGCTGGTATGGTTCAGTGACTGAATCACTTCTGTTGCAACAAATCAACAGAAACAAAGACGGGGCTAAAATGTCACAGTTGCAGGAACCTGAACGAATTATTTCAAATGAAAAAACAAACTTTTTTGTTCAGTGTAGTTTTAGTTTTAGTCCTACTGACCAATCAGTTATCAGAAAAACAGCCCCTCGACTCCTGAACATCGCTCAGACATCAGAGTGTGGAGAGAGCGAGGCTCTGAAGCCATTTCCTAATGAGAGTCGCTAAAGCTGCGCGGAGCGTCGGCGTGTTACTTCAGACAGTGTGACAGCGGTCAGAAGAGTGAAGTCTGATTATTGGCGTCATGTGACAGAATGTCAGTCTCAGACGTGCAGCGTTTACACTTCTGGACTGTCAGTGTGGTCGTTTTGCTCCACGCCTGCACAAATCAACCACATCGAGGTGAAAGATGGACACAGCTCGATGTTAGCAGACTTAGTGAACCAGCTCCTCTCTGGTCTTACTGAGCGAAGGCCATGAAGAGGTCACACCCCAAACACGTCCTGTAAAAAAACAAAAACAACAGAGCTTGGGCGTGACTTTCAGCGTGACTTGAGGCGTGCTCGCAAAAGTCTGTGACGAGTCTGACACTGTTGTAAAGACTCACCTTTCAGCACACTCTCTTCACCAGATGCTCCTTTTTTCTTTTCCTGACCTTTGCCTGTGTGTGGTGGTTGCCCTGAGCAACTTCATACTGAGTTATGAATGTTAAACTTCACCACAACCTTCAGTGTCCATCACTTCCAAAGTGTAGCATTTTGAAAGCTGATGGTTCTTCTTTGATGCATGCATCATTTGTAAGGTGCTTCCTCGTGTTTGTCTCTGTGGTGTGAGTGGGCACAATAGTCTCCTTTTACGAGGCTAAATCGCCGTGGTAACTGACACCGAACACATCACCTGGTCAGGAGCTGGTGGATTGCAGTGTGACTGAAGCATGCATGGAATAATTTGGTGATTTAGAAGATGTGTAAATGTTTTTATAGTCTGATCTGCTGCTGGAAACCTGATCAATCAGATTAATTTCACTTTGATCGGCGACAAGCTGAAGTGATTTCCACGTCTTCTTTTTCAGGCTGTGGCACAGTTAGAAGACTTACCTTCAGGACTTTGTTTCTTTCCACCATCCAGTGTGTGAATGGGTGAATGACTGAATGTAGTGTGAAGCGCTTTGGGGTCCTTAGGGACTAGAAAAGCGCTGTACAAATGCAGGCCATTTACCATTTATCCTTTTTGTTTTTTTGGTATCTGGATTGTTTTGAGGACCTTCTGTGTGAACCAGCTTTTTATTAGCACCTTGTGCTTTGGTTGATTTTTATGTTCATCCAGTTTGTTTCTTCTCCCGACCTTTATTGGGTTTTTTAGCCAAATGTTTTGTTCCACATTTTTATTTGTAGCTCTGTTTTTGTGTGTTGCGTTCTTCTGTTTAAACTCGTGAGATTCTTCCCTGACGCCTTAACGCCCACTCACATCCTGGGCCATCTGACTTCAGGAAATCACATGATAGGGTGGGGCCAGGTTTCACAATGAGCTCACCCGAAACTCTGGCTGATTGTGACCCACACCCGTTTTCACACCTCGGCTCATGTGGTTAGGTAGAGGATCATCAGAGGGTTCTTTGTCCCTCTTGGGGGGGAAACTCCCACTGGGTTTAAATCTGGGACTCTCCGCCATTTGACCCTAGAGCTGAAGAAGCTTCTGGGATGAGAGGTGAAACGTCTTCAAGCAACTTAAAGGAGTCCAGACGCTTTTCTTTGCAAGCTCCTTTGACTACGATGACCTGGATGACTGAGAACCTTCAGACATATTTGTGAACACTAAAAATTTGTTTTATTGTCTCAGGTGACAGAAAAGCATCAGCTACAGTCAGCTGTGAAGATTAGCAGAGATTAACTGAACACATCACCTTGATATTGCTGAGTCTTAATTTCATGTGTGAAATCTCTTAAACAGCAGTGACGGAGCCGTTACAGGAAGCTGGTCTCTGTGCGTTCTCATCAGCTGCTGTGATGAAAGCTGAATTCTCCCGATACTGAACATGAAATGTGCCGCACCCTCACCCCGTCTTTTATAAGCTGACCCACAACACAGAGTCCAGATGAGACACAGCGGCTCTGATGTGTAATACAAACCTTTCATTCTGTCTTTGCAGATACCCGCGGCAGCGATGGACAGAGTCAGCCTGCTGTGGCGTCTGAGGCGGCGGGCTCGCCGCGGCGTGCTCTGCATGACCTTCTTTTGCATCTCCATGGCTCTGCTCTACGCCATCTGTGCTGAAAACAGCGTGCCCGTCACCGACGCCATCTTTGGCGTCCGGGCACGAACCCGCGCGCAGCCTCATGCGCACAATGTCATCAAGGTGCAAAAAGTTTAACCACAACCAGAAACATTTCATTGAATAGTTTCTATTCAACCCACAGCAAAACTACAGCAAGGAAAACAAAGTTTTAAATTCAGGTGAAAAATGAAATTTGGCAAGAAAACAAACAAACACGCACTGTGCAAAAGTCTTGAGCCACCCCTTGTTTCTAGATATTTTGCTTCCAAGCAGCCAGATGTTTTAAAGTGTTGTCCCTACACATAAGAACAACTTATGTGTAGGAACAACTTAACTGTAACTTCGGTCGTTGCTGTGCTTTTTTTGGAAATCGAATTTCCCAGAGGAACCCACCCGAGGGATTAATAAAGTTCTATCTTATCTTAACTTTTATTAGCAGACTGTCACAAAAACACATCATTTGTTCTCATTTCTGGTTAAATATCGAAAAGTCTCAAAGGCAATACTGTGTTCGCACCGACAAGCTGATTCCCAAACTCAGTGAGTGGAGGCCAGAAGAAGACGCAGCAGACCTAAAAACAACTACAGCTGAACAGTATCTGAAAGTCATGTCCTTAGAAGACCTGACACAGAACCACAGAGAAGCATCTGGCACGTCAGTCGGCGCTCTGCTGTTCCCTGAACCAATCAGAAATAGCCTCAAGGCCAAAACCAGGGTTTAGTGGTCCAGCTTTCGTTCTCTCTATCGTCATATTTAAGGTGTTGCAGCTGCGCTCCAGCGAGAGGAAGCTACAGGCTCGATGCTTGAGCTGGTGTCAAGCACCACCTGCAAGTCTGCACCACTTCCTGAGGGGGAAGAAACGAACAGACTTGAGTTATTTTTGGTGAACCACAATAATGTTGATGCTGCTGATTCCCACAGGTGCTGCGAGGTGGAGCCAAGCCCATGTACAAGGACCCTCAGAAGCTCCCGGGCGTCATCCCAGGCGACCCTCGCCGTCCGATCCCCGTCCTGTCCTCGTCCAACCACAGCCACGAAGCCAGGGATTCGTCGTCGAAGCGGAAACAGCGGGAGCCCCCGGGGTTTTTCAGCCGGCTGCTGCCGCGCCCCTTCACGCGAGCGCTGGAGACCCTGTTCGGGGGCCGGCGGAAGGGCGAGCTGAGCGGCAGAGGCAGCGACGCCGAGTTCTTCGGGCCTAACGGGCTTTTGGGAGAGGTGTGGGACGACGAGATGTCCAGCAGCATGCTGGGAACCAGGATGAAGAAGGTGGTGCAGAACTACCAGGTGAGTCGTGGACCAGTGACGCAGCGTCTACAAGTTACATGCAGGCTGAGTCCAGATTTATATGGACTGACGCTCCTCCCTCCATGTTTCTGGTGTTTCTGTCAGGCGATGAACAAATACGGAGTCGAGCTGTCGGGCCCCGGCGGCGTCTCTGGCACGCCGAAGCTGAGCGGTCCCGAGCTTCTCTGCCAACTGAAGGACAAAGTAGAGGTCGCGACTTTGACCCCTGACCTCCAGCCCTTCTCCTTGCTGCCCTGGGCCACCCAGCTGCCTCCGCAGCAGCTGACCTCTGACCTCGGACCCTACAAGAGCTGTGCTGTGGTGTCATCGGCGGGTTCGCTGCGCGACTCTGGGCTGGGCAAAGAGATCGGTGAGACATTTAACCCTTTAAAGCCGGTCGGAGCGGGCACGCTCTGTTTTGCATAACTATTTTTAAATCCCGGCAGCACTGCAACCACGTAAGCTAGCGCAATAATTTTTTTGCATATGAAACCGGAGGAGTTACTTACATCTGATGCCATCAGCTTGTCCTCGGTCACGGTTTCCTTCCACATATAGCTTTGCAAAAACTGCATAAAAAGCACTTGCAGCAACAAAAACATAATATTCCAGAAACACGCTTTGCCGATCCATCAGCTGTTCGTAACACTTCCTACGTCCATCAGCGCAAACTATCGCATGTCCACCATGACCTGCCCGAAACCGGAAGTGATGTCGTTTTCTCGGAAATGTAGTTTTTTACCATCAGGGCCTTATGAGCCTATACTGGTGTTTTTAGAAGTCATGTTTGACTTTATGACTTTCTGTGTCGTTTCTGGGATGCTTCATATTGCACTGCTGGAAATAGTTTATTTTGATGCATATGGTATTGTTTTTGCAAATTTGCAGTATAATATTTATTTTCGTTTTTTCTGCAGTGTATAAAAATTGGTGTATTTCAAAAATAAAACTATGAAGACACTTAAAATAAATTTCCTGTGGTAGGAAACTATTTTGTGCAACTTTTTTGTATTTACAGTTTTGAGGGATAAGCCTCTCAAATTTCTCTAACTAGAAATATATGTAAACAAAACAAAAACAATTTTTATTTTTTTTGTAGTTTATTGCACTTTTTTGCAATTTATGTAATTACTATGCACTTAATGCAGACATATTATTAAAATCTGGGCCATAATGGTTGTATTGATGTATATCAACTTGAAATGCTCCCAAAAATGGCTCCACAGCATGTAAAAATATAAAATAATCTCTGGCGGACTTGGTTCTATGGTAGGTTTTAAAGGGTTTAATGTGGATTTGATGCTTTTCACTCCCAAAGTCTGGGATTTAAAAAGGACACGTCCCTCACATCTGGACAGTCCAGAGGATGAGACGATATTTCTCTGTCGAGAACCTCAGAGCTGCTCTTCTCCTCCCAGCATCAGCAGTGAGCAGCACGCGAAACATAAACAGCACGGTTCAAAGTGAGGTTTGGTGTAAGTGCTGAGCCCTGCTGCTCTCACACAGGATCGTTTTCGCTGTGTGAACGTTGCAAAGCAAAGTTGCTCTCTGCAGCACACTGTCCCCGAACCACAGAGGAAGGATGTGTTTGAGCTGTTTTCTGCAGAAGTCTGGTAGCTCCAGAGTTTCTCACCCAGCATGTCTTTAAACACAGTTTGCTTGGTGCTCTGACTGAAGTGTGAGCTGTGTGCAGCGCCTGTATAACCAACTGCCGTGCTGGTGGGTGGAGGTTTGGTGGCCAGGATCATTTCTCTGTTGCTGGAGGATGATGTGCTGGCTGTTGGCATTAGCCATAAAAGGGTGGAGTGTCCCCTCCAAAGGCCCCTCGAGGCCCCGGGGCAGTCTGGGAACATCTTGCTGTTGCCTCAGAGGAGGCAGGAAGAGGAATGTCTGCTGCCCACACGGCCCGGACAAGCTGCAGGAAACGGGTGAATGGACAGACTGTCCAACTGAGACTAAGCTCCACCACTGTGGGACAGAACAAGTCAGCTGCTCTTTTCTTTTTCTGCTGTTTGTGTCCGAAAACGTGGAGGAGGCACAAAGTTAGTGTGAAAATAGGCTGAAAACACATTTAAGTGACCTCAGACTGCTTTAGATTCACCCAGTGTTCCTGCTGAAGTCAGCTCTTTATGTAATAACTGACTTTATCATCATCTTTTAAATTATAGATCTGTTGAATTAAG